CATTGACCACCTGATCAGAAGCATGCCTAGGCGCGTTGGAGAATGCGTAGCACATCAGGGTGCATCCACACATTATTAAAGGTCAAAGCGCTTTAAAGCAGTGCAATCATTTTGAAATTTTTATCATTTACTTATTATGCTTCATTAAGTACTTATACAAAATTTTATTAAAATAAAACCATTTAAACTGGGTGTTCGGATTTATATGTCACTTAGTATACTTCTGTGCGTAGGTGCTCGTTTTCACGATACGCCTTGTGGTGCTACGATGGACTTGATTTAATATTTTGACAATGGTATAATAATTCTGCTTGGTATCTTGGTGACAAGATTAGAATTATTGCCAGATATGAAGGAGCTAGAGGAAAGCAAATCAAAATGGCATATCACAGGCGGAGAGGTATGGAAATGGAACATCAAAGCTCGAAATAAATTATTATTAGATCAAGATAATGACAAGGCTATCAAAGCGACTGAGAAATAGCAAAGCAGATGAAAGACTAGGAATATGGAATATAAGTAGCTTGTGTTAAGCTGCTGGATTAAAGCACTTGGCCAATTAATTGGAAAAAACAACTTGGGAATTACAGATTTTACAACAGCGGAGGGAAGAACAGATTCTTTGGAACAGGATTTATGGTTAGCATGAGACTCAAAGGTATAGTAGTGCCCACAGAAGAGAAATAACAAGAAGTTAAAGAACAATTCTAAATGAATCAAATGTATCACCGTATACCACGACATAACTTGAAAATAATAGTGCAGGAGACCAATAGGCAGAAAAGAAGTGTATTTTCTGACGACTGGGAGGCATGGTCTGCATACAGAAAATTGTAATTTTTTAATAGGCTTCGTCAGGAAAAAGCTATGATAATAAGAGGTATATACTTTGAAAGAAATGACATTTACAAAGGCCCAGCGAAAACGTCGCACCCCTAATTGTGACTCTCCTGGAAAAAACGCTCGGACAAGTCAATTTTGATTTCTAGGGGGACGCCTTTTTATCTATAGCCGTACAATACAGGGTGATACAAAGATATTGCGTTACTTTTTTAATTTTTAGATGGAAACACTCATTTTGTATAATAAAGCTTATACCTATCTTCAATCTTTGCGAAGCTAAGTATAGAATAAAAATCTAGAAATTGTGATATCGTAAAAATAATAATCAATACTTCCCATACCAACAAGACTTTACTTAAAATTAAAAAAAAACAACTTACAGTTTATACGCACATTAAAGCCAAAGTAAAAATTAATTTGCAATAAAGAGGTAGGTTAATGTGGCAATAAGTGCTGAGAGTAGTGTCCATTTACCTCCATGCGACAATAAAGATTCATTATAGGAAACCGGCAATCATAGATTTTAACGTTACTTTCCGTTTCGATCAATGTTCTTTTGTTTTTTGAGCCGAAAACCATAACTATAATAATAATAATATTTATTCACTCAATGTACAAAGATAACAAACAATATGAGTAAATAAATATAAAATCAAAAGAGGCCCAATAGAAGGCATCGCCTGTACATGGACCAATAATTTAAGTTGAAACTGTAGAATGCAAATGACAAAAAAGGACAAAAATTAGCTACAGATTATGTACTTAGTTGATGTTCGTATTTATGAGTTTATGAATTTCAGTCCTAGATATAGAATGTAGCCACTTTTTTAAATTTCTTTTGAAACAATTTCCGAAACGTAAACCTTTTAAGTCTTTAGGTATAATTTCATAAAATTTAGGCGCTAAATAGAGATATGATCGCTGCATTATAGATTTATGCGGTTGAGGAACTACTGTGCCACGAATTTTGTACCTGGTATAATGATTATGTTTAATTTTTTGGTCGGTGTTTACAAATTTATGGTAGTGAGTGATACTGTGTAAGAAATAAAGCTGTCTTATATCATACATTCGAACATCTGCGTATAATTTTTCAGTGGGATAAAGTTTCGGTTTTTTAAATATCATTTTTAGAATATTTTTTTGAAAAACATCTAAATTATAGACATGTGAGGAACATGCAGCTCCCCATGCTAATATACCATATGTGAGATGAGGCTCAATTAGTGCATGGTATAATGTTCGAAGATATTTTTCTGTCAATATATTCCCAAGGTATTTAATTTTGTAGGATACAAATCTAACTTTCTTTAACGTATAATTGACATGGATGTCCCATCGTAAGTGAGGATCCAAGACCACTCCAAGGTATTTTATGTTGGGCACTCTATTAATTTTTTGATCATTAATATTGAAGGAGAAATCTGTGTAATTTGGCAGATGTCTAGCATACGATCCAAATGGTAAAAAATGTGTTTTAGAGTAGTTAATGCTTAATTTTCTACTGTTAAACCACCGAATAATTTTGATAAAATCATTTTCAATTACATTTTTCAGATCAGACCAGTCAGTGCCTTCATATAATATTGCAGTATCATCTGCAAAACTAGTTATTTTGCCAACACAATTAATTTGGAAAATATCATTTAAATATATATTGAATAACAGCGGACCTAAGACAGTTCCTTGTGGGACACCACACTTAATATACATTTCTTTACTAAATGATCCTGATATCTGCACAGATTGTGGGCGATTTGACAAATAACTTTCGATCAGTGAGTACGCGTTTCCTCTGAAACCAATTCTCTCCAATGCTTCTAATAATAATTTGTGATTAACTGTGTCGAAAGCTTTCTTTAAATCAACAAAAATGCAGATTGAAGGGATCCTGTTATCAATATTTTGATGTATTTGATTTACAATTTTAGTTATTGCGTCCGATGTAGCCTTCCCTTCTGTAAATCCATATTGATTTTCACTTAAAATTTTGAATTTTGTGAGGTATCGAATCATTCTAGTAGATAAAACTTTTTCAAAAACCTTTGCTACACTGGATATTATTGATATTGGTCTATAGTTGTTAACATCTGTTTTTGTTCCTGATTTATGTATCGGTATTATATTACCTTTTTTTAAAATTGAGGGATATATGCCAGATTCAAAGCATTTGTTGATTAGGTAAGTGAGTGGTTCTGTTATGTCCTCGGCTATAATTTTCAAATGCTCGCTTTTAATACCATCGAACCCAGGATTTTTCCGATTTTTTAAGGACATAACAGATACTTCACATTGCTCGACTTTATCCAAAATAAATGAGTTCAAAGTTCTTTTAGGAGGCTGAGTATTTTATACATTTGCTTGTATATTACTTGCTAAATTTTCGCCTATGTCAGTAAAGAATTGTACAAATTCATCGCATATCTGTTGAGTATTTTTTAATACTGTTCCAGATGTTGTATTTAACTCAGTGACACACTCTTCAAATTTTGTTTTCCCAGTAATCTCATCAATAGTTGTCCAAAGCCGCTTAGGATCATTTAAGTTATTATTCAATTTATTTAGGTAATGTTTTCGTTTGGTTTGCCTTACAAGCTCTATAAATATATTTTTATATTTTTTGTAGCAGTCGGTATTCTCTGTAGTTGGCGTTAGTTTCATTACATTATATAGTCTTTCTTTTTGTATTGCCGATGTTATTAATCCTTTGGTAATCCAGGCATTTCTGCTTTTCTCTTTGTGACTAATTATTACTTTATTGGTACTAATATCTATTAGTTTTTTATTTTCTCTATGAACAGTCCCGTTGCTTTGTCTATATTATTTATAGAGTATAATTGTTCCCAGGATTCTTGTTTGACATTTGATATTAGTTTTGAATTGTCGACAAAAAATTTGTAATTTTCCTGGTTGTTATTAACGGTAGGGATGTTAGAATGTTTTTCATTTGAAGATATCAGTAAAATAGTGGAGAAGTGGTCAGTAATATCGCTTTCTAGGATTATTGGTATACAAGTAATTTTGTTGGATAGGTCTTTCACAAGGCAGTGATCTATACATGTGGCACTGATGGACCTTGTAGGTAGGTTTATATAAGACAAAAAACTGTTACTTGATAGGATATTCAAGTATTCATTTGTGATGGGATCATCGTCCAAAATATTTATATTGACATATCCCAAGAAAATATGTTGCTTTAAATGAACTTTATTTTGATTTTGAAAAAAAATTCGATATTCTTTAAAAACTCGTGGGGTTCTGAACATGGCGGAAGATAAATTGCAGATACCTCAATTTGTTATGGTTAATTTGGATCATTATGTTTAAAATTTTGATTCCATCGGTGAAAGTGAATGTATCATGATTATATTGCAGTTTATTTCTTACAAAAACTATCACCCCATCGTTTTGGTTATAAGTGCCAAAGTTATACAGCGTGTCATATCCCTGCTGATTGAAGCAAGAAATATCAATCACTTGCCACGTTTCAGTTAAAACTATTAGATCAAAATTGTACCATAACTGAAGATTTAGATGGATTAATTTGTAGGTTTTGCGAGTACGAGACGTCTACTACCCTTATTAAGTCTTCGTTGAGCAATGGTTCTGTTATTTTAAAATCTTTGTGTTGAAAACTAAATTAATTTGAGTATCATCGGCATAGTGATGGATTCTGCAATCATGGACATATTAATGAAAATCCGAAATATATGGAGAGAAAAGTAAAGGTCCCAAAATGGAACATATAATATAAAATTTGGACATTAAAATCAAAATATGCTTTTTGTGAAATACCGTTGTAGTTGAAACTTATACAGGCAATCAACAATCTGCAACCAGTAGAACAGCTGGGCGCATGGGTTGCCTATATTCAGTCATTTACTTCTGTTTGCGCTGAGGAACCAAACATTATTATTTTGCATTTTTTATTGATATTAAGCACACACAAAAAAAATCGTCCCAGTTTTAGATAGGGCTAGAAAAGAAAAGTCTTGTGATGACAACTGCTGCGGCCTACTGGGAAATGAAAGTTTAAATCCTCCCTTGAAAGTTCCTCAAGGAAGAGCCGTTGTTTCAAGGAAGGTTATACATCTGACTCTATAACAAGTACGCCACGCGATATTTAGATATTTTTTAACTGTAACCTTTTCTTCTAGGGACTTGGCAACTGGGGGAAGATAATCGGTGGAGGTTTCAGTCGCCTCAGTGAATAAAGGTAACAGCGGAGATCATTGGATACAGCACTTCGACCATCTTTGAATGGAGAACAAATAAACTTATGAAAACTGTTCTTTGAAGCACTGGACTAAAAATGATCAGGGATTCGTTTAATGTGTGAGAATATTCTGAAACAAAACTCTACGATACGCGATTAACGGTATCATAACATCATACTTATTGAATAACGTTACACTGCTGCTAAGTAAAAGCGCATGAAGTTTTGCGAAAGTTTGTGACGATATACAGTGCATTTCTTTAACCCAGATATGCCTACGGCTCAAATAAATTATAACAAAGTATGTTCTCTGCAAATTCATTCTATATGAAGCATATATTGAACAAATTTATTATTTTTTAAATTTTATTTTAGGAAAAAGTGTAAAAAATGCCGTACAAAATATGGTACACTAGGCACATAGGCGAACATTAAGGTTTAGTATAGACGGACAAAAAACATCTTTCATGCATCCCTACATTGCACTTAGAGCACCTTGTTTTTGCTCTATCATGACATAAGCCGCATCTAGTTGGCTCTTCTTGTGGCATCACAAAACGATCTAAACGATCATAACGAATATCTATATATTTATTAGCCGAAGGACGTCCTCTAGAAAAAGATGGCGGTTTCTTGTTTCGTTGTAACAAGGCTGTGGCAAGCCGCCGTCTAAATAATAATTGATCCATATGTCCTCCGTGCGATCTATGAAGTTGCCAGGAATTACGAATAGCCATATCAATACAGTGGCTGATCAATGAAAAATACCACTTTTTACCCCTGATGGAAATGCGATACAGACCAATATTTTAATCACAACGATCAGCGCCGCCCATATTTGCGTTGTATACATTTACAAGATAAGGCTGTTCTACCTAAAATCAAAAGCATTTTTAAAAACATTGATTTTTTTGCAGATTGTGTTTCTTACCTGAATACTTTTTTATCCTTTTGAGAGTATCGCTTTACAAAGCGAATTGGTTGCAACCCTGCGGCATTTGAACAGAGTGTTACTAAATTATTGTCATGCCATTTTACTGCAATTATCATAATTTTAGAATCTCTGAATTGGACGCCTTGTAAACGATTTTCTCTAGCAGTACCAGTCGCAAAGAAATTCTTTTCTGTCAATTTCACCATAAGAGAGAAAGAAGTGAAAAAATTGTCGAAAACAAAATGAAATTTTTCATTTGGCCATTTTTTCCTCAGTGCATCAGAATACTCTAATACCACACCAGCTCCAACCCCCAAATCTGCATAATTCTTACTAATGTTGGTTGACGACCCTTCGTAAGGTTCAACCCAGTAAACGTAGCCTAGTCTTGATACGCCAACCCATAATTTATAGCCGTATCGTATAGGTTTTCCGTGAACGAACTGTTTGCATGAGTGTCTCCCAAAATAAGGAAACATTGCCTCATCTACACTATGCATTTATGTCAAAATTCCATGTTCCATTAATTTTTGATGCAGGCTCGCAAATAAAGGTTTAACTTTTGCAAACTTATCTCCTTGCTGTAAATTGTAGTTATCTACTAAATGGAAATTTGGCATATCTAATATACTCAAATTTATCTCGTGTAAGCGCTTCTGTGACGAGTTGATTATTAGCATCTCATCGACATAACCACGCAATATTAGTGTTCCAATAAATACCCTTATTTCATACTCTTGCACCTCTTGTTGGCGATTCGTGTGAAAACCATTCAAGTGGAGTCTTAGAAGAATTATATTGTTCAAGAATTTCTTAGAAGTTTCCTGGAACTTCTTGTGGTAGATCCTCCTTCACTAATTTGTACGTTTTTCGGCTCTTTAGCTTTTTATTTTTTCAGCTAATTCAGACAATGTAATATTATCTTCGGAATCAGATGAAGATATGCTGCTTGTAATTTTGAACCTGGTAGATTATCATCTGACATTACATTCTCATTGCCGGAGTGCTCGTCTGTGAGAATGTCACAAGCATTGATTGGAGGCATCAATGTGATATTATCCACATTTGCTACTACATATTCATTATCCTCCAACATAGCAAGGGCTTCCTCCCGAGAAAAGCCCCTAAAAATGAAACAGGCGTGTATTTTCTTGGCGTACAATATTTTGCACACTCAAATATAATGACGCAATTGTGCATTCGAAATAATAACATAAGTAATTTGGCATTATAACTGGAAAAAAGCATGTGTGTTTTATTGATAGAAGCAATCAAAACATTTTTTTATTTACGTAAAGACCATATATTTACTTACTTGGCAAATCTTATTCCATATTCAGCTATGTCACAAAAAATAAAAACTTCTTCACAAAATCGCAAAAAAATCTCAATACAACGATAACACCCACCCGCACGTTACTATTTACTAAATCTTATGGGCCTACCACACGCGCAAGCATCACCACAGTTTTGCCTGCGCAGGCCGGTTTGTACATGGAACACTGTGTGTGTGGTTGGCGTTCCTTGGCTTGCGAAAACCGTGCAGCGTGGCTTGCGCGAGTTTTGATTTGTTTGAAATTTTGCCTGCGCAAGCCAGGCCTGCGCGTACTTGCCTGTGCGTGTGGTTGGGTGTTCAGTGTTCAAGCCACAGTCTCTCCATACTCTCAATCAGAGAACTATTTTCAAACTCAACATTCATAACAAAAAATAAGCCAATCACGACCTCAATCCTCTGTATCACGGAACCTTTCTCAGATCTTGGTATGATCCTCCAGTAGCCAAGAACCTTAAGGTAGCGGTCAGCCTTTCGTGAGGTGATATACTCTCATAACCGTACTTTGACGTTGAATGAAAGGCGTATTCAACAGCCATTTCTTTATCCACTTCGATCGTTTACGTTTAGACTTTAGCAGTGTCCTTTTCTTCATTAACGAAACCTTAAAATATAACAACAGAAGAAATAGTTCTTCATTGGGAAACATTGTTTCCACGACGACGATTTTGACAAGAATGTGGCTTGCGCGTACTTAATTGTGCCGTGTGGGAGCCTCGTCCGTGTTCAAGCTTCACCACAGTGTTACCTGCGCAGGTAAAACTGTGGTGAAGCTTGCGCGTGTGGTAGGCCCATTACTGAATATATCTGTGCTATTACCGCGTCAAAATAAGCACAGGTCGTTGCAAGTCGCGACTTGTTTACGGTGTACCATAAATTGTACGCTAGGAATACCTATCTGGGTTAATGTCCCCCCCCCCTTATTATTTGTAGAGATATCCATGTTAGTGGGTTTGTATTCAAGTAATTATTAAATGTACCACCATTTTGTAGTAGGTAATGGTATTGACTTTATATTCTAGGGATATAAAGTACTTGTCAGGAGCTTCAAAATGATGTGCCACAAGATCCCCGTTTTCATATATTTCTTGTTCCAAGATGGTGCCCAGCGCCCATCCGTCAATTTTGCTCTAAAATATGGTATATACGCATCAATTTCATTACCTCAAGTTTCAGTCTTTTTAATTGATCAGCTTAAGAAATCAAAGGTGAGGGGGACATTAAAAAAAGCAGCACTGTATTTGAATAAAATCGATTCGAAGGGGCTTACGAAGTCGCGTATGAGCGGATTGCTCGTTTAACTTTTTTAATATATAGGTAAATTAGGCTTACTTATATGCTGCAAATTTTATTATCGTTGTACGGGTGGTTTGGGTAGCTAAAACTTATCTGTGTATGTACAATTTCACCAATTCGGTCTACCAAACAAGGTTAAATATTGCTTTAAAATCAACTAAGCACACAATGCTCTTCAAGGTCTTTTAGGAGAAGATTTCAGGTCAGATACTTGGCAATCTCAAAAATTTTCGCTGAAAACTAAAAAAAAAAAAAACATCGTTGGAGATGTCTTACTAGGGACCGCTTTTGTTTAAAATAATCCAAACCTGAAAAAAATTGCTCACATGTTCATCTACGTTATAGTTTTTATGAGCTTTTGGGAAGATTTTGTGTTGCCTTACTATGATATGAGCTTTAATGCAGACTTACGCGTTTGCACAAGTGAGCAACCGATCGATATTTTCTCAGTCTTTTGTTATTATTTGTCATTAGAGTATTACACGTACACGACTCGACGTTTTCAAACTAAAAGCAGATGGTGTTACTTGTTATCCATCACATGAATGATATTGAACGATGAGGGTGAAATCAATACTTATTTATGCGCCGGTGAAAAACAATGCTGAAGGTATAAATGAACTACTGCCATTGAACTAACATGTTTAGTGTTTTCTGTTATGGCTGGCTTTCTTAGTGGCAGTTCCGTATGTTTCATTTATTTTAACAGCTTGTAGAACGCGCCAAAAGAAGTTAATATACCAAAAACCACCTATAAGAGTTGCATAATAAGAGAGTTGCTTTACATTATTAAAAAATATTTAAAGAAAAATCATTATCAAGTTAAATGGGTACCGTTCTTACAAAAATTGTTCAATATTGTAGCCAATTGTTCGATTAACGTAAAAACTTGCTCGGCGAGTCCACCACCCTTTACAATCTTCGATGAATAGAATCACAAGCATTTTCAGTGTGCCGTAGAAGTTCTTCCAGAATATTTACTACTCCACCATGATACACCAACTCTTTCAAATAGTCACGCAGAAAAAATCGCAAGGAGTTAAATCCGGGAAGCGAGCAGGCCAAGAAATGGGTCCGTTGCTCACTATCCATCTATTCGGAAACTCATTATTTAGATGTCCATTAACTTTTCGTCTACAATGTGGATTTAAAGCCAATGGGAAATTGCAACTCTTCTAGGATAATCTTCAGGTTGTAACGCTTGTCCTATTTTATTCCACACTTTACTATGGGAAACTTCAGCTTCAGCTATGGCTCTAGTACTCATTGTTGAGTCGTCTTCGACCATTTCTGAAATATCTTCATCAATTTGTAAAATTTCAGGTTGGGCAGTTCTTCCATTGTGACTTCCAAGTTGTTCTTTCGAATATCCTGTGTCACGAAGCGTAATAACTAAATTTACAAACATCCGTGGGGCCGGATGATTT